TCATGCCAGGCACGTGTGCGTGCCTGCCCAAGATCCCGAGAGGAGAATGGAGGAGAAGGGATTGCAGCATGACCATCTCCCCTGGAGGGTGATTTCTTGCTTTCTGTCTCTCTGTCTGTCTGTCTTTCTCTGTCTTTCTGGTGAGTGCACGCGCTCTATAGCAAAAACCTCTCCAAAAAAAGAGAAAAAAAAAAATCCCAACCTTCAGCAGCTTGAAAAACACACTGGTGTGTGTGTACACTTAAAATTCCAACAGGATGGAAAGATGGGGGAGAGGGGACTGTGGTGTCACCTCGTCCCATTGGGTGGGGTCCTTCTTTGTGTTGAGTTTAAAAGAAAAAAAGAGAGAAAAGACAAAAATGTTATCAAAGGGCTTAAGAAAAGCTCTGTGGTGTTAAATGATTGAATTTGAACTGGAAATATCATTATTATGACATCTAAATACGTCCACTAAGGTGAATGGGGTCCTGTGATCAAAAGCTACTTGAAACCACTGTTTCCTGTGTAGTTATGCTACACAGATGTATTTGTATCTATTTACATCCATGTTAGTTTGCTTTTCCCTCTTTTTAAATTTTCTGAATATGTAATTCATTCAGATATTTATATACACAAACTGTGAAAAACCAAGGTATACATTAATATCATAAATATTGTTATGAATCATGATTTCAAAACTATTTTTGCTACCTCTCATCACTTAGAGAGTTAGAAGCAATGGCAGCTCACTTACGGCGAACACATCTAACTCACACTTTGGGTTTCTAAAGGCCATTCCCCAACAGGACTCCAGAAATGCTGGATCTGGAGCAGGGAGAGCGCGAGTATCCAGAAAGCAAGGAAGTGCTCACAGAGAAACGGATGAGGAGTGGGCCACATCAGGGGTGGAGGGCCCAGGAGGAAACGCCACCAGATGTGGGGGAAAGGGCTCTATTGAGATAGTTCAAACAGGTTAAAAAAAGGAAAAAAAAAAAAAAAAGAAAGAAGAAGATGAAGAAGAGAAGGAAGAGGAAGAAGAAAGAACAAAGTAATGGATTATAGTACATTACGTATAAACACCTGAGTATAGAGTGATCCCCAAATGGAACACAAGGAACTTCTTTATGTGAAGAATGCCAGCTAGTAGGCATCATAGAATTACCAAGATTACCGTTATGGAGCCATGAGTGGAAGTCTCGATTCAGGCAAGGATCATCTGTAGAGGATAAATCCAGACTTTTCTTTAACGTAAAATTTCTCATGATAAAAAGATGGGGCCAGCTAGTGGTGTGGAGGTTGAGGCAGCTGAATCCCACGTGGCCGACTTTACAGTTTGAGTCCTAGACCTGACAGCTTGAAAATCAGGCTGGGAATGTGTGTGTGTGTGCCCCAAATCCCAAGAGGAGAATGGAGGAAAAAGGATTGCGATGTTGGCATTGCCCCGAAGGGTGATTTCTTTTTTTTTTCTGTTTGTAGAGGTTTTTCGCTATAGGACGCGTGCGCTCGCCAGACAGACAGAGAGAGACAGACAGAAAGCGAGAAATCACCCCCCAGGGTGGATGGCCATGCTGCAATCCCTTCTCCATTCTCCTCTCGGGATCTTGGGTACGCATGCACACGTGCCCGGTGTGAGTTTTAAGCCACCGGGTCCAGGACACGAACCGCGATTGACTACGTGGGAGTCCAGAGACATAGCCACTACGCTAACTGCTGGTCCCGCAAAGGATGATTTTTCATTTTCCCTTTCTCTGTTTCTTTCTGGTGAGCACATGTGCCCTATAGCTAAAACTGAAAGAAAAAAAGAAAAAAAAGGGAAAAAATGATATGAAGAGAACAAAAGGCATTGCTTTAGGTTTTGAATTAAGCTTAATTACTTCAATTCTTCTTTTTTTTACTTAACTCTATTTTATTATTATTATTATTATTGTTGTTGTTGTTATTATTTTCCAGTTTGATCAGACAGAGAGAGAGGGAAAGTGAGAAAGCAAGCCACCAGGTCTAGGACTTGAACCAAGGGCAGTCATGTGGGAGTCCAGCGCCTTTAACCACCATGCCACCTGCTGGCCCCACTTCCATTCTTTTATGAAATCTTAGCTGTGCTTTTCCAAAGCTGCTGCTACCACTGGAGTTCCCAGTGCTAGTCTTTCACTCTGAATAGTAAGGGTTATTATGTCAAGTGATGATTCCCATGGAAAACGTGTTACTTCAGTGGGTTTCCTAGGTTTACATTCACTTTATTTTCCGAGTCCCAGCCGTGTGGGCTGGGCAGTGCACACACCTTCATTCCCAGACAAGCATCGAGACTTAGGTCTGTTCAGACAAGGTGACCTATTTTCAGAGAGGTCAGACCGTGTGTCCCAGACAGACAATACGTGTCAACCCGAGGGCTTGGACCCAAGCCCCACGCCCTTTCCCTCCTCACAGCCTGCGTCCTGTCCCGTGGAGTAGTTCACGGGAGGAGTTCCAGGGCCTTGTCTTCGACATCTGTGAGAGACAAAGGTACAGACACAGGTGGAACAGAACTCCTGGGAGGCCGCCTAGGTGCCTGCAGGAGTGCGACTGTTTAGGGGCCCCACACGGGTGCACGTTTGGACAAGATGACATACTTGGAGATGTTCTGAGCTGGGTGAAGCTGACGTTGCTTTCTGTTGGGAAAATGAAGAGAAGAGATTTGTGCTGTTTCTAAGTATCCTGGGAAGTCTAATTAACTCTTAGTCAGAGAGAATTCAAACAGGTTAAAAAAAGGAAAAAAAAAAAAAAAAGAAAGAAGAAGATGAAGAAGAGAAGGAAGAGGAAGAAGAAAGAACAAAGTAATGGATTATAGTACATTACGTATAAACACCTGAGTATAGAGTGATCCCCAAATGGAACACAAGGAACTTCTTTATGTGAAGAATGCCAGCTAGTAGGCATCATAGAATTACCAAGATTACCGTTATGGAGCCATGAGTGGAAGTCTCGATTCAGGCAAGGATCATCTGTAGAGGATAAATCCAGACTTTTCTTTAACGTAAAATTTCTCATGATAAAAAGATGGGGCCAGCTAGTGGTGTGGAGGTTGAGGCAGCTGAATCCCACGTGGCCGACTTTACAGTTTGAGTCCTAGACCTGACAGCTTGAAAATCAGGCTGGGAATGTGTGTGTGTGTGCCCCAAATCCCAAGAGGAGAATGGAGGAAAAAGGATTGCGATGTTGGCATTGCCCCGAAGGGTGATTTCTTTTTTTTTTCTGTTTGTAGAGGTTTTTCGCTATAGGACGCGTGCGCTCGCCAGACAGACAGAGAGAGACAGACAGAAAGCGAGAAATCACCCCCCAGGGTGGATGGCCATGCTGCAATCCCTTCTCCATTCTCCTCTCGGGATCTTGGGTACGCATGCACACGTGCCCGGTGTGAGTTTTAAGCCACCGGGTCCAGGACACGAACCGCGATTGACTACGTGGGAGTCCAGAGACATAGCCACTACGCTAACTGCTGGTCCCGCAAAGGATGATTTTTCATTTTCCCTTTCTCTGTTTCTTTCTGGTGAGCACATGTGCCCTATAGCTAAAACTGAAAGAAAAAAAGAAAAAAAAGGGAAAAAATGATATGAAGAGAACAAAAGGCATTGCTTTAGGTTTTGAATTAAGCTTAATTACTTCAATTCTTCTTTTTTTTACTTAACTCTATTTTATTATTATTATTATTATTGTTGTTGTTGTTATTATTTTCCAGTTTGATCAGACAGAGAGAGAGGGAAAGTGAGAAAGCAAGCCACCAGGTCTAGGACTTGAACCAAGGGCAGTCATGTGGGAGTCCAGCGCCTTTAACCACCATGCCACCTGCTGGCCCCACTTCCATTCTTTTATGAAATCTTAGCTGTGCTTTTCCAAAGCTGCTGCTACCACTGGAGTTCCCAGTGCTAGTCTTTCACTCTGAATAGTAAGGGTTATTATGTCAAGTGATGATTCCCATGGAAAACGTGTTACTTCAGTGGGTTTCCTAGGTTTACATTCACTTTATTTTCCGAGTCCCAGCCGTGTGGGCTGGGCAGTGCACACACCTTCATTCCCAGACAAGCATCGAGACTTAGGTCTGTTCAGACAAGGTGACCTATTTTCAGAGAGGTCAGACCGTGTGTCCCAGACAGACAATACGTGTCAACCCGAGGGCTTGGACCCAAGCCCCACGCCCTTTCCCTCCTCACAGCCTGCGTCCTGTCCCGTGGAGTAGTTCACGGGAGGAGTTCCAGGGCCTTGTCTTCGACATCTGTGAGAGACAAAGGTACAGACACAGGTGGAACAGAACTCCTGGGAGGCCGCCTAGGTGCCTGCAGGAGTGCGACTGTTTAGGGGCCCCACACGGGTGCACGTTTGGACAAGATGACATACTTGGAGATGTTCTGAGCTGGGTGAAGCTGACGTTGCTTTCTGTTGGGAAAATGAAGAGAAGAGATTTGTGCTGTTTCTAAGTATCCTGGGAAGTCTAATTAACTCTTAGTCACTTATAAATGATTAGCTCGGGAGCAGCAAGAATGTGGCTGCTCTTACTGCCAGGCCGAGGTCACAAAGGCTGTCACACCGACTTGGGCACCAGTCGTGCCGGGGTGGAAGATCGCAGCTGGCCTCTGAAGCCAGCCATGCTGATACCTCTTCTGGCCTGTTTTTAATTTTTGAAAAAAAAAAAAAAACAGGTGTATTGTGTGAGTCTCTTGCTTGCTTGGGAGCTAACTGCTCCCCTGTCCCTGTCACTTTGGTGTTCTGTGGGGGCTCCTGGCTGTCCTCATGTTCAGTTTCAGAACCTCCTGAGCCGACTGAGAGCAAAGCCCTGGCCAGCGAGGTCCCCGTTTTCCAGGGTTTTTTGGTCACTTACTCCTGTCGGTAGGTATTTTGGAAATAAACTTTACTTACATGAAGTAAAATTCAGAGTTTCTGAACTTTGTCTTCATTCAAATTCAAAAGGAGTGAACCCTCTTGCTTTTCACTCATGTGGTTTTTAAATCTCAGGAGCAATCATTCTGAAAGTGTTTCTTTTTTCCCTCCAGACAAGGCGCCTCTGTCGAAGAGTCTCTTGCTGGTCCCCAGCGCCTTGTCCCTCGTGCTGGCCCTCCTCCTGCCTCACTGTCAGAAGTTCTTTGTGTATGACCTCCAGGCCGTCAAGAACGACTTCCAGGTGAGCTTTGTTGGCTGGCCTCTGCGGCAGGGAAGGCAGGTTTTTTCCTACTAATAGATTTGTATTTTGCTGCTATTCCTTAATCCCTCTAAATGTTTAAGATTTACTATTTATTTTTAACATTCTATTAACAAGTTAATTTTCCAGTTGCTTTAATTGATAATTTAGCAAAGCAGATGACAGTGAAGCAGTTGCACTGTTTCCTTTTACTGAGTACATCTTTTCCATTTCACATTTTACTCATAGAAATGCAATTTCTCATTTCAAGGCAATTTTTAAAACAGTGTTAAGTCTTTTTCATTTCTTCCTTCCTTCCTTCCTCCCTTCCTTCCTTCCTTCTTTTCTTTCTTTCTTTCTTTCTTTCTTTCTTTCTTTCTTTCTTTTTTTGAGAGGTTTTTGTTATAGGGCGTGTGCACTTGCCAGAAAGACAGAGAGATAGAGAGGTAGAAAGCGAGAAATCACCCCCCCAGGGGGGATGACCATACCACAATCCCTTCTCCTCCATTCTGCTCTCAGGATCTTGGGCACGCACACGCGCCCAGCCACCAGGTCCGGGACTTGAACCATGGTTGACTATGTAGGGTCCCAACGACATAGTCATTATGCCAACTGCTGGTCCCCTATCTTTTATTTTTTTAAGAATCAGTATGCATACTTAACATTTCCAAAAATGTGTCCCAGTTTGAATATTGATTAGGTCTTTCAAATCATAACAGGTTGTGAAGTACTGATTACATTTATAGTGATGGTTAAACCAAGTAGATTTCTCTGGAGTTTTTGCTACATAAAAAAGCAGAACTCGGGACCAGCAGTTAGCATAATGGCTATGTCGCTGGACTCCCACGTAGTTGACCGCAGTTCACGTCCCGGACCCGGTGACTTAAAACTCATGCCGGGCGCGTGTGCGTACGTGCCCAAGATCCCGAGAGGAGAATGGAGGAGAAGGGATTGTGGCGTGGCCATCCCCCCCGGGGGGTGATTTCCTGCTTTCTGTCTTTCTGTCTCTCTCTGTCTGTCTGGCGAGCGCACGTGCCCTATAGCAAAAACCTCTCCAAAAAAAGAAAAGAAAAAAAAAAAAGCAGAACTCTATATCTTTCAAAATTTGTAGACTAATCTCATTGAAAATGCTGGTGAAAGGTCTTGACTGAGTTGGATATTAGTGTAAATTCTGGTATGTGACCGGGTGCCTTTTTTTTGGTGTGTGTGAAAAATAATTTGATTAGGCATTTTAAGCATAATAATCCATTTCTTGAACACAGATTTCCTTTTTTTTTTTGGAGAGGTTTTTGCTATAGAGTGTGTGCGCTCGCCAGAAAGACAGAGAGAGACAGGGAGACAGAAAGCGAGAAATCACCCCCCAGGGTGGATGGCCACGCCACAGTCCCTTCTCTTCCAGTCTCCTCTTAGGATCTTGGGCACGCACGCACTTGTGCCTGGTGTGAGTTTAAGCCACTGGGTCCAGGACTCGAACCGCATTCGACTGCATGGGAGTCCAGCAACATAGCCATTACGCCAACTCCTGGTCCCCAGATTCCCTTTTTTAAGCTCTTTCTTTCATTCTTCCATGATTGAGAGAAGGAAAGAGAGAGAGAGAGAGAGACTGCACCTTGATGCTGCAGTCCACCTCAGCCTTCAGCCAGCCCATATCGTGGGCACAGGCGGCCTGGTGCGTTGAGGGAGGTCTCCGGACACCAACCAGCAACCTTCCCATTTGTGTTTGCTGCAGTGCCACAAACTGTCCTCATGCCTTTTCCTCATAATGATGTAATTAATGCCATTGCTCAGACTGCAAGTGCCTGTGGAGGTCATTCAGTTATTTATTTCTAGCATTGCATTCTGTCAAAATATAGTGGACAGCTTCTTTATTATTTCAGTTTTTATAATGGAATGGTTGTTAAGCCTGACCAAAATTAGAATCACTTGTGTTGGTACAGAACTACTTGGGACTGGGTGATTTATAAAGAAATAGAGGTTTATTAAAAACATTTTATTTTAGGTTTTCACCATAGGGTGCTTGTGCTCACCGGAGAGAGACAGAAAGACAGAGAGAGGGAAATTGAGAAATAACCATCCACATGGGATGGCCATGCCACAATCCCTTCTTTCAGGATTTCGGGCACACTTGCATATGCATCTGGTGTGATTTTTCAAGCCACTGGGTCCAGGACTCAAACTATGCAGTTGGCCATGTGGGAGTCCAGAGCCTCAACCACCATGCCACCCGCTGGCCCTAAGACAGAGGTTTATTAACTCACAATTCTGGTGACTGAGAAGTGTAAAGCCCTCACCAAGTGGCAGAGAGCAGAACTTTGAGCAGAGCATTGTCTGCATCTGTGGGGCTCTGCCTGCCTCATTTCTTCCCTTTACATACACACACATACACACGCACACACACACGCACACACACACACACACACACACATATATATATATATATATATATATAAACTCAGTTGTGAGGGTCATATACTAGTAACTTTATCACACCCAGAGGCCTCGCCTCCCCTGGGACCACGAAGAGATCAAATTTTCACTTACTACTGTTATAGTGTAACCAACACATGAACCTCTGGGACAAACCATCTTCTAATCCATCACAGCCAGTCCTGGAAACTCCTGTAGAGGAACGGAAGATCCCTCTGGTCCAGGGTCGTGTGTTCCGGATTTCTGGGGTAATCTGGCCCATGTGGCTAAGCACCTCTGTGACATCTTACTCTAAAGGTAGTGACCTAAGTGGAGAAAGACCACTCTTCTGTCCTGTAATGTGACTAGCCATGCTCTCCTGTTAGAACCCCCACAGGGCTCACGGTGTGCATTTCTAAGAGCTGCCTTGGGAAATCTAAACACAGACACACACATTAAACCCTGGTAACCATGGGACACAAGTGTACTTTAAATCCTGGGAGGATAACTGTCTTATTCCACTATTGCATTGCTAACAGAAATACCTGAGACTGAATGGTTTGTAAAGAAATAGAGGTTTATTGGACTCACGGCTGGTGGGTGAAAAGCGCAAAGGCATAGGGCTGGCATCAGGCTGGCCTGTGTCACAGCATAACTGACAGAAGCAGAGAGGATGACAAGTAAATGCAGATGGTGCAACTTGGGGACAGCTGTCTAACTTTTACAGCAACCTGCTCTTGGGAAAACTAGCCCCTTCTCATGAGAGCTGAAACTCATTCAGTCTCTTGGGAGACAGCATTAATCCATTCATGGGAGCAATGCCTGCATGATAGGATCACCACTCACTAGGCATCACTACCTGCTGACACCATTACACTGGGGACCAAATTCCAAAACATGAACATCAGGGGGACGAAACACTATTGAAACCATAGCAGTGATAAATGAAGGAGGGGCACGTGTAGAGTGAGCTAACCCTGGAGAGCCTTAGGGATAGGAGTGTGCAGTTTGGTCTGAAAGAAAAGATAGCATTAAGTATTAAAGAGAAAGAAGGGCATCTCCCTTCAGGAAACAACATATACTCAGGCCCTTAAGGTATAGGAGGCCTGATGCAAGCTTGGATTGGATGAGTTCAGGAAAGGCAGCTGACCAGGGGCTTTATTTTGTAGGTTCTGTATCTCCCGGGTTTTGCCAGTTGAGGCAAACGTACTGTCTTCAGTTTTCTGAAGGTCTTTGTTTTTGTTTGTTTGTTTGTTTGTTTTCAGTGCCAGCCAGTGATCAGTCTAGGGGTCGTTCACCTTCATAATAATATGTAATATTAGGTTTCAGAAAAGTCATGACATATTTTTTCTATGTAAAAATGCGCCATGACTTTTCCAACAACTCAACAGTGTATTCTCACGCTAGGCTTGTAGTTTTTGTGGGCATGAGCATAGTTACAAAACGAGTATTTAAAACTGTAGCTACCAGCTTTGTCATTAATTGAAGAAACAAACAATAATAACAAAACTAATGACTTTCTACGAATGCGATTTGCTATACTTTAGTAATTAAGTCTCAATTTCCTCAACTCCCAGATTTCCCTGCTGGCTCTCAAGGCTTTAGTAAAGTCCTTTTTCATTTCAACCTTAAATATGGACTAGAGGAGTTGGAACTGCCTTTCATTGTGTTTTGTTTTTGTTTTTGTTTTTTAAATTTTGCTATGAGGCACATGCCAGACAGAGAAAGGGTGGGGGGAATGTAAACCACCCCCAGGAGGATAGCCACGCTGCAGTCTCTTGTCCTCCATTTTCCTCTCAGGATTTTAGGCATGCACGTACATGCTCCCAGCAAGATTTTCAAGCCACGGGTCTGGGACTCAAATCATGAAGCTGGTCACGTGGGATCTAGTGCCTTAACCTCCATGCCACCTGCTGGCTCAGCTTTCATAGTTTCTAAATTTCCTACCCTGTGAACGCACAATCATTGTTTTATATCTGTAAATACTTGACAGTTTCCAGTGCTTTCTGTATTGTGTCTCCTTTGACCATATAGATGGTAGGATGTGCTGGCCTAATTTTGGTGTATTCGTGGAATGTCTGAGAGAGAAAAGTGTTTTCCCTAGTTGGAGAGCCGAGTTGGCACATGACAGTGTCCATGACGGGCATTTCTACTGATCACGGCAGCTTTTCTCCTTGAACCCAGCTGGGGCCTCAGCATGACTTGCAGGCAGCCACCCCCAGTTCGGCTAGGTAGGCAGGTGAGGGGAGTCACACTGGATCCCTAAACCAGTCCTGCCCCCTCGTGTTTGGTGTACGTCGATGGCGAAAACTGGCGTCTTGCTTGGAGTAGAGACAGATGTGAGATATTTTGACGGTTGATATAGCCAGTTTTTTTCTTTGTATTCTTATTATTTCTGTTGACAGGAGCATAGGATGTATGACTTGAGATAAAAAGATACATTTTCTGTGCCCCTTTCTCCTGTTCTAGACTAAGGTTAACCTTATCCCTGTGTTCAGAGTGGCATTATTCACAATAGTCTGAAGGTGGGAGCAACCCGAATGTCCTCAGACAGATAAATAATCAAAGCATGGCATATGCTAGTGTACTTCAACAAGTTCCTGGAAAAGTGGATTTGGAATATGTGTTCATTTTGCTGCAAAAATTTTGAAGTCTGTGCAGTTTTTATAAGACACATTTTCCATGACGTTTATATACACTTTGTACATAGAATAGAATATTATTAGCCAAAGAAAAGAATGGGATTCTGATATGCATGTCAACATGAACCTTGAAAATGTCATGCAGGGAATCAGCAATTGGCCTAATGACTATGTCGCTGGACTCCCACGTAGTCAACTGCGGTTCGAGTCCCAGATCCGATAGCTTAAACTCAGGCTGGGCACGTGTGTGCGTGCATGCCCAAGATCCCAAGAGGAGAATGGAGGAGAAGGGATTGCGGCGTGGCCATCCCACCTGGGGGGTGATTTCTCACTTTCTGTCTCTCTGTCTTTCTCTGTCTTTCTGGTGAGCACATGCGCCCTATAGTCCAAACCTGTCCCCAGCAAAAATAATAAAGATGAGAAAATGTCATGCAGAGGGGAATAAAGTCTGACACAAAAGGAAAAATGTGTGATTCCACTTATATGTGCTATCTAAAATAAGAAAATTCATAGTGACATAAAGTAGAATACTTTTTACCAGGGACCAAGGGGAGGGAGAATGGACAGTTAGGGTTCAATGGACACAAAGTTTCTGTTTAGGATGATGAGAATGTTCTAGAGATAGATACCACTCATTTGTACACTTAAAAATGGTTAAAATGAAACATTTTATCCCATGCCTAATTTGGCACAATAAAAATGCAAAGAAAAGATAAGGATATTTGTTTTACCCACCTTATAAGGTAATGTGAAAGTGAAATGAGATCTAAATGTTTTGTAAATGCAATTGTATTTATCTCTAAAACGCTGAAAAATGCTTAAGAAGACTCAATCAAAATAGGTATTTTTTTTTTCACTATAGGGCGCGTGCGCTCGCCAGACAGACAGAGAGAGACAGAGAGACAGAAAGTGAGAAATCACCCCCCAGGGGGGATGGTCATGCCACAGTCCCTTCTCCTCCATTCTCCTCTCGGGATCTTGGGCATGCACGCACACGCGCCTGGCGTGAGTTTTAAGCCACCGGGTCCCGGACGCGAAACGCAGCTGACTACATGGGAGTCCAGTGACATAGCCATCACGCTAACTGCTGGTTCCCAATCAAAATAGGCCTTTGAGTAGCTCTTTCCTCTCTGTGTCTTTTCTTATGTTTTTCACCCAGCCAGAAGCTGATGTAAATGAACTAACCATTTAGCAGCAGTGGCCCGTACATGTTACTGTGAAGTTCAGATCGGTATATTTTTGAGTTTATACCTACATTGTTGTTTAGTCACAACTTTGTTGTAGTCAGTAACATAACAATGAACATTTGGGGCTGGCTCTGTGGCCTGGTGGTTAAGGCAGCCAGACCCCATATGTCTGACCTGACATTTGGAGTCCCGGACCAGCTGACTTGAGAAGCACGTTTGCAATGTGTGCCCAGAACCTCGAAAGGAGGGAGAGATGGAGGAGAAGGGATTGTGGTGACCATTCCCCATGGGGAGTGCTTTCTCTTCTCCCTCTCTCTCTGTCTCACCGTCTCTCTCTCACATAGCACACAAAAAAATTTTTTTGTTAAATCTCTCTTTTAGCTAATTTGTATATATATATTTTTTTCTTACTGAAAGCATCCTGTAATTCTTGTGATGTAATTCTTTCACTATACAAATAGTAACCTATTTTAATTTAAAAAAAATTAAAAAATAGAAAGTCTCAAATTTTTTGTTTTTTTTTGAGAGTTTTTTTTTTGCTATTGGGCATGTGCACTCGCCAGAAAGAGAGAGACAGAAAGCAAGAAATCACCCCCGGGGGGATGGCCACACCACAATCCCTTCTCCTCCATTCTCCTCTCAGGATCTTGGGCATGCACGCATATGCACCCGGCGTGAGCTTAATCCAGGACTCTAACTGCGGTTGACTACATAGGAGTCCAGCAACATAGCCATTATGTTAACCACTGGTTCCCTCAAAATGTTTTACTGAAAGCTCTACGTTGTCTTAAGAGAATGTATTTTCTTATAATTAGCAGGGAAAAAAAAATCCTCTTAAGCACCATTCGTACTAATATTGGAGCAATTTTCAGTATGAGGAGTTTGAACTCATTTCTTAGAGAACACATATGTTGAATTTTCCTTTTGCAGGAGCATCATGATTTTGCTCAGAATACAAAAGATCAGCTGTAAGAGTATGAAGTAAGCATAATTAATTTGCTCAGGGAGGGACCTGAACAAATCTTACTTACTCTTCTTTTTTGAATCCCCATCTAGGTTTGGAGGTTGATATGTGGAAGAATAATCTGCCTTGATTTGAAAGACACTTTCTGCAGCAGTCTGCTTATTTATAATTTTAGGATATTTGAAAGAAGATATGGAAGCAGAAAATTTGCAGTAAGTTTCTATGTATTTTCTACGTAGTCTATAAAAAACCTTCTTTTCCTTTTTTTTAAAGAATTATTTTATTTAACTTTATTTATTATTATCATCATTATTATTTTCCAGTTTGATCAGAGAGAGACAGAGAGAGAGAGAGAGAGAGAGAGAGAGAGGAAGAGAGAAAGCAAGCCACCAGGTCTGAGACTTGAACCGTGGTCGGCCATGTGGGAGTCCAGCACCTTTAACCACCATGCCACTTGCCGGCCCCAACCTTTTTTTCTTATTTTAAAATAGGTTTTATTTTGTTAAACGTGGCTTATTATTTATAATTATCTTTTTAGTTATATGATCCTGTATCTAATTTGGGGCATAGACATTAACCAAAGGAAAATGGAAAATTTAAGCCACTAGCATCATAAAATAATAAGAATAATGATAATGATCATAAATAATAGGGTGAGTAAGTAATAAACATCTAATTAGGACTTTTGTTTTAATGCAATTCTAATCACTTATTCTGCTTTATGGTTTATGTTACGTGTTGAAAATATATCTTGCTATAAATTTTCTTTAACATAAAATTATGGAAGTTAATGCATTTGAACAATGTAATTTTACTCCTCAATTTTGAAAAGTTTGTCTTAATAAAAATAAATAACTTAATATATGTATAGGGACCAGCAGATGGCGTAATGGTTATGTTACTCGACTGCCATGTAGTTGATTACGGTTCAAGTCCTGCACTTGGCAGCTAACACTGGGGGCGTGTGTGTGCATGCCCCAGATCCTGAAAAGAGAATGGAGGAGAAGGGATTATAACGTGGCTATCCCCTCTCGGGGATGATTTCTCGCTTTCTGTTTCTCTGTCAAGCATATGTACTCTATAACAAAAATCTCTCAAAAGAAAAGTATATATCCATTTTGATTCTAACTAATAAATGTTAGTTTATTTTTAGGAGATTCATCTACAGTTTTTCCATTTTTATTGTTTTCAGTCTTTTTTGCTGGGTTCCTGGGTTTTGTCAGCGCTGTTTGACTTTATCCTGGTCGAAGCTGTGCAGTATTCATTTGGTTTCACGGCAGCCAGCAATTTGCCTTCTGGATTGTAAGTAGCTCTTAAAAACAAGCTTATTTTAATGCTGTAAACTTTTAAGTAGAGTAAAATTGATTTTTATGTGAAAAACAAGTGCTTACATTTTCATTATTTATTTTTTTTAAATAATCACCTTTGTGTTAAATTTTTTTTGCTTGGCTTTGAAATTTTGTGTTTTAAGAGTTTTTAATAAATTTTTATTCTTTTTTTTAGAAAAAATGTCAATAGGTTTGTGTGTTTTTATAGTGAAATTTTAACTTTGTACTTTTATGAATTAATTAAGCAAAAAAATATAAAGTTTAATGGTTTAGGAAACAAAATAAATTCGTATGCAGTGAATTTTTAATTTTTTTAGTTTGTTCTTTTTCCTTTTTTAAATTTCATTTTCTCTTATACATTCAATCACATTATTTAGCTTATAAAGTGACTATTTCAACATGGGAAAATTTCTCCCTAGTTCAGTTGATTAAATTGTAAAATAGCTTCAACAGATAATATCACATTTCTTTGTCCCATTAATGCATTGCCTCCGTAAAAGGATAATTTTTTAAAAAAAGTTGATATTGTTTATACACCTCTACCAAAGATCAAACCAAATCAATATATAGGCAACAACTTTGTAGCCAACCTGCAACGCCAACATAAATCAGTGTATATATGCTCACATCTCCTTTGAAAGAACCAAGACAAAAAGTTTGCATTAGTTAAAAAAAAAAAAAAGAAGTTTGCATTTGTGTGTGAAAAGTAGTACCTGGGAGCAGAGTTGGTGGCACGTCAATGACATACACATCTCTGAATCTGAGAGATGAGACAGAATAAAAGGGAGATATTTGATGTTAATACTAACTTCAGCCTTGGTTTAATTAACACACATTTTTGAGAACTGTTAGGCTGTTAAAAGTATTTTGATTCAAACTCACTTTGGATCTCTAGTTTTAGAAATTTAGTAGGTGCACTAATAGGTTTTGCACTCACATCATAACGTGTAGCCCTTCAGGAGTTTGCTGAATTACAATTGGCATGAGTGTCAATCTTTAGCTGTTTTACTAATGTATGATTCTGAATAATATTTGAATGGAGACAGATAAAGTTCTATGTCATAATTATCATGCAGTTTTTGTTGTATTCCATGGATTGTGATTGTAATTAGATTGTGAAGTTTACATTGGCTATTCTGTTATTATGGAAAATAGTGGAGTAATCTGGAATAATTCTGAGGTGATTCAGAAAAGCATCGGCATTGCTAAGTCTTCAGTTATCCTGAAATATTGCTTATCCAGGCCCGCTATTTTGGTTATCTAGAAGTTTTTGAGTTACAGAAGATATGTGTGTGTGTGTGTGTGTGTGTGTGTGTGTGTGTGTGTGTGAAGTGTGTTTGTGTTAGAATGAATTTGGGGATGGGTAGTAACAGAGCTTTGATTTCTTGTTTATAATTCCGCCTTGTCCAGTAACACTCGTACATGGAGTTGCATGACAGCAGAACCTTCATGTTAATTTATTTTGTTTTGGAATCCTGTATTCTGGTACATGTAAAAGATGATCGATTTGATTTTGAACTAGGTGCGAATATTTCTACTTAAGAGAAGAAAGGCATTTACCTATCTAAATCTCTACTTGTAATAGAGTTACAAACTTGAACAGATTCAAATGTTCTTGTACCCCTTTTGAAAGACAACATGAATGTTGTTCATTCAGCCATTTCCTGAATGTTAATATATTTCCCTTCTTTTTCAAGTCACAAAACATTATAGTATGAATTTTTAGGATATTTTTCTCATTATTCACGATAGTGTATGTGCATGTGTGTGTGTATTTGAGGGAGAGAGAGAGAGGAAGAGGAACACTGTCCCCAGGTCTGGTCATGCTGCCGTCCCCTTCTTCCAGTCCTCTGTTCAGATTGGGCCCTTGCACATGTGCCTGGCATGTTTCAGGTGGACAGGGCCTGAGATTTGAACCAAAGTCCCCATATGGGATGCACTCTTCTCTTGAGCAGTGCATTACCACTGTGTCATGGAACAGGCCTCCTTTTTAGAATCTTATCTTTCTCGGAACCAGCAGATGACATAATGGTTATGTCGCTGGACTCCCATGTAGTTGACTGCAGTTCGAGTCCTGGGTCCAGTGGCTTAAAACAGTCTGGGTACATGTATGTGCATGCCCAAAATCCTGAGAGGAGAATGGAAGAGAAGAGATTGCGGTGTGGCCATCCCCCCTGGGGGTGATTTCTTGCTTTCTGTCTCTCCCGTGAGCACACACACCCTATAGCAAAAATCTCTCTAAAGAAAAGAATCTGTATTTCTCAAACGTAGATTTTCTGGAATGTAACCCTTTTCTTCAATAAATACACTTTGAATTTTGTAAATACATTTTTTTAATTGATGGTAGCAGAGCTTCAAAAACTCAAGAAAGGAAATTACTCTTCATTTGTAATTAACATGCTTTACAACCTGTAGTGTTTTTCACGTAACATCTTATCTTTTTCTTTCATAACAATGCCAGATAAATCTGTCCTCTAAATACTCTTCACTTTCTTTCTTTTTCTCTCTCTCTTTTTTTGCCTGTTGAAACTTTCTTATAAAGGTCACCAGTGACCCCTAAATTGACTCACACAGGAGTCGGTTCTCCTAGTTGACCACGCAGTAGTACCTCGAATGCGTCAGCTGCTCTCCCTTAATGAAACAGCCAACTGTTCCCTCGAGCCCCAGCACACTGCTCCCCCCTGGTCCCATTTGACCTTAGTCACTGTCTGCGGCTGCCTTCTCAGGCTCACACACTGAGGCTTGAGCAGTTTCGTCCACTGCTGGGACTTCAATGACGGCTCACATCTGTTGTTTCTCAGTCCTATTTCTAACCCACACTATAGTCCTGGCCTGTCTAGAGTCTCATTCCTAATGATTTCTAGACTCAATGAGAAGAGAACTCATCGTGTTGGAGGCGCTCATCTCTCTGGCCTCCCTGACCCCGTCCCTGTCCTATCCTCCTTCCGCACACCTTACCTCAGTTAACTGCATTTCCAGATACTCAGTCATCCAAGCTGGAAGTCTTGGCCTTTCTCGTCATAGCGCAGAGCACTGAGTCTTCATTCGAAGTCCATGGAACTCATTCGTTCATCCCTTCTGTTTCTGCTGTCACTGTCCCAGTGTAAACTCTAATCTTTTCTTGCCTTGGTTTCTAAAGTAATTGTCTAACTAGTCTCCCTATCCATTTCAAAGCATTTCATACAATGCTGTCAGAAATGATATTTCTAACGTACAGATTAGACCGTGTCAGTCCTCCTTTTAATAACCTTGATGGGGCCAGCAGGAGGCATGGTGGTTAATGGACTGGACTCCCACATGGCTGACCACAGTTCAAGTCCTGGACCTGGTGGCTTGCTTTCTCACTTTCTGTCTGTGTCCCTCTGTGGTCAAGTTTAAATAAATAAAATCGATAAAGTTAAATAAAATAATTCTTAAAAAAAAAAAAAAAAGAACCTTGAAATCCCCATTTCCTTCAGAATAAAGTTCAGAGTCCTTTAAGATGCCATGAAGGCTGTCTGGGAAAATGGGAATGGTATAGACTTTGCCATCAGACAGATTGGACTTGAGATTCTAGCTCTGCCACTTACTTGCTGTGGGAAATTTTGAACAAGTGACTTCTTTCAAGATCCATTCCCTGGACTTAGCTTATAGATGACTGTCACATGTGGACTGGGAGCATTCTCTATTTGACAGGGCGGTAGATTGAAAGACACTCGCTTATGCTAGGATGCTAGCAGTAGCATACCACCCTTCTCCCGTATGTTGGCTTTCTTCTTTCCCTTCGAGAGGCCTGGTGATCTTACCACCATCCAGTCTTTCCGACACTCCCCTGTCAGTTGCCAGCCTTCTTAACCTGCCGTGTGTTTATCCCAGGGCCTGCTTGGCTTCCTCTGCCCCCTCTTACCCCTTGGCAGGGTGAGTTGACCTTGTATGTGGATTACAACACATTCATCACTATCCCTCTGAGTACTTGGGACATTTCATGGCCTCGTGTGCCAGCTACTCGTTCATGGAGAAGAACCACGCTGTACAGGACGCGCTCATGCCCTTAGACTTCGTCCTAGCGATGGGGTCCTCATGGTTACAGCACAGCCCCGTCAGACTGTGTGGGATGGTCCCAAACGGTTCTGGGGTGCAGTGGAATTCAAGTTCTTTATCGTTAACGTGAATCTGAGTACAGCATTAAAGGAGTTATTTTTTAATATATTGTTTTAAATAATCTATCATTTTATTGTAAGAACCGTGACACGTATTTTCACTGTAGTGATTTTGTGTCAACCAAATTTTGGCCCGTGCTTTGTACTCTCATACTAAACCCTTCATACAAAGAAAGGCTATCGAGGAGCACTTACCATTCGGTGGGTTACGTAAGAGCAGGTTCATCTGTGTGGTAGGGAGTAGGCTGGACTGTGTGTCCATGTGCCATCAACCTGCTTATCAAACGCGGAAGTTACTTCTCTTGCTTTAGAAATAATTGTTTGTCTGAAGATATTTATTAAAGGCTCTTATTCACTTGACATCAAGTGTCTCTTTGTTGAGAAACTGCACTTCGGTATCACCTTGACTCCTTTATCTTATGTGGCTGTGAGTGCACCCACCACGTAAGCCTGTTTGCTTCGTATCGTGGGAGAATCGGCGTTCGGCTTGAAAGGGGAGCTTGGTTCCTAGGCTGGTTCTCTAGCTAAGCAAGTCACGTTAACCTGGTAGGCGTCAGGTTTTTGTTTTTGTTTTTGTTTTTGTTTTTGTTTTTTAATTTCAAACAGAAGAATGGGACTAGGTTATCTAAGTGATTTTCTAATGCTAAAATTCTATTTTATGATTAGACTCCTTTGTGTGTGTTTTTTTTCTTTCTTTAAAGAATATGAATTCACCCATGTTAATTCTAGAAGTCCATTTATAACCAATGCATGTAGTTGGCTCCGAGTCCTATTAGAGGTGACTATATTGCGAGTAATAAGGGTGGTTTAGCACAGAGGAAGTTACAGGTAAATACTTTATTTTACTTCCATAGCATTTAGAATAATAAGGTTTTAGAAACTAGATTTTTTTTTTTTTTTTAGATGGAAAAGTTACTTGGTTTGTTACTTTATTTGGAAATTAATGGTGGGGCCAGCAGGTGTCATGGTGGTTAAGGGAGCTGGACTCTCCCACATGGCTGACCGCGGTTCAAGTCCCAGATCTAGTGGCTTGCTTTCTCACTTTCCCTTTCTCTCTCTCACTCTGTTTCTCTCTGGTCAAATTATAATAAATAAATAAATTAAATAAAGTTCAGTAAAATAATTCTTATAATAAAGGAGAGATTAAATGGCAAGTCTAGGATAAGAACCCAAGGTCTCTGACCATTGCTGTTTATTCTGAAACTATAACCTGGAGGAAAAAAAAAAGCATTGATCACTTTTATAATGTGGTCGTCACGTAAGAAGAGCAAACTTGGTATTTCACCATGTAGTAGATGCCTCAAGTCAAAGGAGTAACTTGGATATTGGACAGGTATAGGATCTCAAGCTAGGGTCTGTCCCTGGTTCTGTCCCTTACTTAGGGCTTGGTGCATCGTAGGAGCTCAGTAGTTACTGAATGACTGTAGTCTGTTTCCCAGAGAAAGCAGTCTCCGAGCTGGGGGGCTGGTGGGGCGTGGGCTTTCCAGGCCTGCTCCGACACTTGCCCATGGCGGTTCTGCTCTGCAGCAAGCACCAGTGAGCTGAGCGTGGTTGCGTATATAGGAACTGGGAGTTTGGTGTTTAGAACATAAAATGCTGGATTTAGACCTCCAGTCCTCACTGTAAATTAGACATGAGGGAGCTGCACTTACTTGGAAAATACTGTAACCGAACTATTTGACAAGTAGCTGAATTTTCTCTCTTACTGATAGCATACATGAGTCACTAGTTCATGGACTTAAATCCAGAATGTTAAGCCAATTCTATGTAGATAAAACTTGACTCTGAGCACAGGTGGGTTTTTTTCCCCAACAGTTCATGAAGCTGTTTTATATTTTTAAAAGTTTTTTTGTGTGTGCTTGCTGGAGACAGAGAGAAGGAGAGGAGAGAAATCACCCCACAGAAGGGATGACCACACCACAACCCATTCTTCTCTCAGGATTTTGGGGACACACACACACACACACACACACACACACGTGTGCCTGGTGTGATTTTTAATCTGCCAGGTCTGAAACTAACCATGGAGTTGGCTATGTGGGATCCAGCCACCTTAACCTCTATGCCACCGGCTGGCCCTTGTACAAGTTTCAAAAATAAAAATAATTTCTTAGAATACTGAAAATATTTAAATATGTTGCCACAATAATAAAGTCCCACAAAAGAGTTTTTGAAGTTTATTATTTTATTTTTCAGAAGAGAAGAGACTTGATAATATACAAAATATCCACTGGCTCTAGAGTAGTTAGCAATTTTTTTTTTTTTTGAGAGATTTTTCACTGTAGGGCGCGTGCGCTCGCCAGACAGAAAGAGAGAGACATACAGACAGAAAGCGAGAAATCACCCCCCAGGGGGGATGGTCACGCCGCAATCCCTTCTCCTCCATTCTCCTCTCGGGATCTTGGGCACGCGCGCACACGCGTCCAGCGTGAGTTTTAAGCCACCGGGTCCGGGACACGAACCGCGGTCGACTACGTGGGAGTCCAGCGACATAGCCATTACGCTAACTGCTGGTTCCCTAGTTAGCAAATTTTAAAGAGACTGAAGAAATAAAAAACCTTCCTTGCATTTATAACATCTCACTGTTTATGTTGCTTAGTGAACGTATACTACCGGACCGGAAGCTTTTTCTGCGCACGCTCCGGAGGTAATTGCGGTATAACATGACACTGATGACTCGGGCCTGAAATTGTTTCGAGACGATGTAGTAGAGAATCACATCCAGACAGGTGCTGAGATTCATGAGGAAGGTGGTGAAGGCGCCCCAGGGACTGTAACTGTTCTCTCCCCCGTCCAGCATCAGGAAAGCAAAGCAGATGTGGAAAGGCATGAAGCACACGAGCACCTGCACCAGGAGCGTCAGGATGATCCGTATGGACTTCTCCTTGACTTTTGGTTTCAGCTTAGAGGTCCTGCCGTGGAGGAGGCTATGAATAATGACCAGGTAGCACCCAATCATGATGAACAAAGGGATCAAGAAAAAAAATATCAGCCGAGTGAAGTTCAGCACATTCACGGCCTTCAGGTGGACGATGTCAGAAATCTTTAGGCAGGTGGCAGGGGTGGAGGCTTTATCTGGGTCTTCATAGAGCAGAAGCAGAGGGACCGTGGTGGTCAGGGTCATTATCCACACCCCCACACAGGCTAGCACGGCCTTGCACGTGTTTTTAAGTTCTTTGGCGTATTTCGGCTGCACGATGGCCATGTACCGGTCTGCACTGATAAAAGCGAGAAGCCATAGGGCAATACTTGGGTAAAACACCGTGAGAGCCCCGAGGATGTGGCAGAAGTACTCTCCAAATGGCCATTCACCTTTTGCGTAGTAAAACATTCGAAAGGGTAAACTCATAATGAATATTAAGTCCAGTAATGCCACGTTCATCATATAGATGGTTACCGTGGTTCTCTTCTTGGTGGTACAACTGAAAACCCATAACGCTGTGACATTAACAAAGAATCCAATGATGAAGATACAGCTGTAGAAGACCAGGGCTGCGATCTTGTATTCATCTGGATGTGAGCTGTTGGAAGGGAGAAGGCGGTCCGGATTGTCTATGGTGGTCATCTTACAGCGCCTTGGTAGGCATGGTACTTAGAACCTGTAAAAGTAGTTAAGAAAAAGAGGAATAAAACCCTTGTTAGGAAAAAACACATGTTTAACATTCTCACCTTCAGCTTGGCTGTCAGTGAGTACTATTGGGTCTTCAGGAAAGTCAGGATGCATTTTTGCATAGAAAGCCAGAGAAATATGTCATGGCTTCGCCGATAACCTAATAATTTTGAGAGTATTTTTAGGTTACAAGCTCTTTATAGTTTCTTAGAATTTTATTAAGGAATACATCCCCTAGTAATTACCGCCGGCATGTACCGATGCGTTCACATGTTCTGTGCTGTCCTGATACATTGACAGATTCGCTCGTTTTCTTTCTCCCTGCTCCTGTCTCTTCTTCCCCAAAGAATAACCCTTTCCTTGTGACTTTTTTTTTTTCCCCTAGAGTGTGAAACTGGGCAGTAATTATTTTTATAATAAGCATTCTTTAATGTGGACTAATTAGAGAAATGCCTTTCTGGATTTTGAGTCTTACAAATAGTTTGCCAGTTTTTATCATCTCATTCTATTTAAATATTTTGTAACCAAGATTAGTTATGTTCAAATAATGAACTTTTACTCATTAAATACCATTTTAATATACAAAATAGATACCAGGAAACTAATGAGACCACCATCCAGCTGGGTAGTTACTGAGCAGTCGCCATCATTTTCATTAAGGGACCATAAGGTTTGCCTTCTTCACTGCTGTCTCCCTCTACGTACTGAGCTCCTGCTGGTGTGCAGTAAATCCTTGCTGAGTGAAGGGCGAGTGAAGGAAGGAATGTCTGATGGGTGACCTGCAGCCGTCAGTCTCCAGTTCTCCAGTGAAAAGTTGCATGGTTGCCTACAAACATTTTTTTTAAGTGACTGACACTTCTTCATAGTGCTGTCTAAAAGCTAAATTATGTAGGTCTAGGAATAACAGTGCTGTGTGTCCTCGGCTGTAGACAAGAATCTGACTCTTAACCAGCAGGTGAGCTATTTTCTAACACACAGCTGGGACTGTCTAAGGCTGAGTCTCCCAGACTGTTTTCTGGTGTCCTCGAAGCTGGTTTCAGCCGCTGCAGTGGTACACAGAAAGCAGCACCTGGAAAATAAACTCCTGCCAGTAGAGTTGTTTTCAGATCTTCATCGAGTAAAGAAGCTTAAATATTATTTTTCCAATGAAACTTAAAAGAGGACTATCTAAGATATGGAGATACTAATAAGAAAGCACTCAGGAAGTTGCTGTGTATCAAGAAGCTAATAAATTCTCATCAACAGCAAAGCCCATTGCAAGTGTGGAGGAGTTGGGTTGTGGTTGTAAATGTCATCAGCCTCTCAGTGTGAAACTTCCCTCCCCGTGATGCAACACCGACAGCAGAGACTTTAAAGGTATATAGACTCATTTAATAGACAGAAAAATGAAAAAGTTATCTGCTGACAGTAATGTATCTGGTAATATCTTCGACTGGACTAATATGCTAGTACTCATGCTGGGAAAGCCACGCTGTACACTGTTATGATGAGCAGTGGTTAAGTGAGAAAACAATACACACACACACTACAGAGAGATGGAACCTTGTGGTCTCCCATCCAGAGGTGTACAAAAGGTTTCCTTTAGAAATACCACTTTGCCAAGTGGGCAGTCTCTGATTCAGCCTCAATCTCTCTTTACTGAAAACGACAGGGGAGGACAGTGGCCTGTGGTCAGTGGCACCATGGGCTGTTGATCTTTTATATTTTTTAGAATAATTTTATTTTTTTTTTAATTTTTAAATTTTTTTGAGAGGTTTTCACTACAGGGCACGTGCGCTCGCCAGACAGACAGAGAGAGAGACATAGAGACAGAAAGCGAGAAATCACCCCCCAGGGGGGATGGTCACACTGCAATCCCTTCTCCTCCATTCTCCTCTCGGGATCTTGGGCACGCACGCACACGCGCCCGGCGTGAGTTTTTTTTTTTTTTTTTTTGAGAGGTTTTCACTACAGGGCACGTGCGCTCGCCAGACAGACAGAGAGAGAGACATAGAGACAGAAAGCGAGAAATCACCCCCCAGGGGGGATGGTCACACTGCAATCCCTTCTCCTCCATTCTCCTCTTGGGATCTTGGGCACGCATGCACATGCGCCCAGCATGAGTTTTAAACCCCCAGGTCCAGGACGTGAAACGCGGTCGACTACGTGGGAGTCCAGTGACAGAGCCATTACGCTAACTGCTGGCTCCCAGAATAATTTTCTTTTATTTAACTTTTATTTATTTATTTAAACTTGACCAGAGAGGGACCAGAGAGGTGGGGGGATGAGAAAGCAAGCTGCCAGGTCCAGGACTCAAACTACAGTCGGCCATGTGGGAGTCCAGCGCCCTTAACTACCATGCCACCTGCTGGCCCTTGGGCTGTTGATCTTTAAGAATTAATTTGAGAATTACTATGGACACACAACACGAGCTTGTCTCCCTTTGCCCCTCTTCCCCTCCTTCTCTTCCTTTTTGACTTAAACTAGTTTGTCAAATATTTAGGTTAAATATGATTTTGCAGTAGAATTATATATACTTTAAAACTGTTAAATTTCCTGAGCATTCATCTGACTAGGATGTTAATTTCTATCAAATGAGAAAAGCATTACGTAGGGAACCAGTAGTTAGCATAATGGCTATGTCGTTGGGCTCCCATGTAGTCGACTGCAGTTCGCATCCTGGACCCAGTGGCTTAAAACTCAAGCCGGGCGCGTGTGCGTGCATGTCCAAGATCCCGAGAGGAGAATGGAGGAGAAGGGATTGCAGCGTGGCCATCCCCCCTGGGGGGTGATTTCTCGCTTTCTGTCTCTATGTCTCTCTCTGTCTGTCTGGCAAGCACACGTGCCCTATAGCGAAAACCTCTCCAAAAAAAAAAAAAACAAAGAAAAGCATTACATAGAAAAATTCAGTCTTCCATATGGTACAAAGGAGAATAATGTGGAGGCTTAAGTCTTAGTGAAGTCTTTTTCATTCATAGTGAATTTTTCAATAGTAGCAATTATAACAGAAATGAAATTCTGTATTCTTTTTTGTGTCTACCCATCTTCAATCCCTAATGCTGTCACAGAACTCTCATACTTACAAACCATCTTGAGTAAACACCCCACCACCACCACTGGACTCAAGCCGCTTTTATGAAGCCTGTTTGTCACCATACCTGTATTCACTTGCATCAAGTTTGAAAAAAATGTAAGTGATACATGTGTTTTTAAGGTATTATAGTATAGATTGTAGTCTGCACACACAGAAATTTATAGATGAATATTAATTAGACTGTGATTGGCTCTCAAGTCTGGTTTTTAAAAACTTTAGATTCCCCGATTATCTGTAGTTTTTCTTGTCTCAAAAAGTACATTTCATGAAACAATGCGATTGAAGCCATGTGACAGAAACCTCTAAATACGTTCATGATTTATCACACCAACATCTTATGTTGGAAAAAAGTGTATTTGCTAATGATGTAAAACAATATTGAAAATAAGTACAAAGTCTTATTAATAAGGTAGGAAGATAACAGAACCTGTTTCAGAGTCCTTCACCGGCATAGTTTTAGTCATGTGTTACTAAAATAAGACAACGATTTTGCATTTAGTGAGTAAAGCATTACTTCTGATAATTAGCTATGGGAAGCGAATTAATGAGGTTTACCTCCTGTGCGTCAAAAGGCCGTCTGAACGAGGAACGTTTTCCGGTATGCCCAGCTCTGCGGAAGAGGTAGCTTTGAGTTCTTGTGTTAAAATATTAGCTCTTTCTGGAAATGGTGTGTGTAAGAAAGGCCGTGTTTCTTTTGTCTGGGTTCTCTGTCGCTGAGTTGTTCACCGCCGGTGCAGGAGCCGCACTGGGAGGCGGAGGCTGAGCCCAGGCCGCCGGAGCAGGCCCCCACAGGGTCTGGGGGCGGCGGGTGCAGGAGCCGCACCGCGAGGCCTCCAGGCAGCCGCACCGCGAGGCCTCCAGGCAGCCGGTGCAGGAACCTCCAGGCAGCCGGCGCAGGAGCTGTAGCGCTGCTCGGTTTCTCTCAGGAAGTGCTCTCTGCAGTCGGTCCCCAGGACTTTCTCAGCTTCTGACTTGGCCCTGGATGTGGTTTCTGTCTTTCACAAATGATTTGTTTATGAGGTCGTGCCTAGCATAATAAGTTCAACCTGAAAACGTGACTTAAACTTAAGAGAATTCTTTAAAAAGGGGAAAATGTCTTCAGTTTCTTTACTTTGATACTTTGAGTCCACATCATCTGTGGAAAGAGCAGGAGGTTTGATGTTGAGTAGAACAGGGTTCAAATCCTAGCTTCTTTCCTTTTTTTTTTTTTTTCTGAGAGGTTTCGCGTGGGCTTGCCAGAAAGAGAGAGACAGAGAGACAGAAAGCGAGAAATCACCCCCTCCCCAGGGGGGATGGCCACGCTGCAATCCCTTCTCCATTCTCTTGGGATCTTGGGCACACACACACACTCGGCTGGCGTGAGTTTTAGCCACCGGATCCGGGACTCAAACCACGATCAACTACATGGGAGTCCAGCGACATAGCTATTACACCAACTGCTGGTTCCCTAGCTTCTTTTCTTTGTAAGCTGGTGCCTTTGTCTAGTTACTTAACCTCTCTGAGCCTTTGTTCCTTAGTCTACTGTCCAAACTCAAGGGGATTGTGAGCACCCTACATCAGAAAAATGCCAAGTGTTTAGCATGGTACCTGGCACTTAGTAGGGGCTCTTCCACACAGTCTAACTCTTCACTCCCCAAATCCTAAAATCACAGAATATCTACTTTTCACCATGTAAACGTTTCTTAATGGTTAAAACTCAGATCCTTGATTATTTGTGCCTGTTTTTGCTGTACTCATTTACATACTTCAGTAAATGATATGTAGAAGTCTAGAAATAATTTCTTTTACGGAACGACCCCTGCAGACCTTAGTCCAAAGAACTCTGGAAGTCTTTAGTGGAATAATTTGCATATAAGAGTGTCGTAACTTAAGATGAGAAATGAAACTCTCAGAGAGGGAAGTGAGCAACTCGGATCATTACCTCTCTAGTTATATCTTTTTTTTACTTTTTGTTTTCTTAAAAAAAAAAAAACAACCTCATTTGCTTATTCTAAAATTTTAATTATTTTTATATTTAGTTATGTTTAATTTGCCAACTTTTAAGAGTTACATGAGCTGAACTCTGCAAGGCAGTTGGGGGTCCCATGCTCCCTTCTTCTCAGATTCACTGTAGTAAACCTGTGACTTAGACATTATTTAAATCTTTGTCTTGGTGGTCAAGTACATTGAATGGCCTAACCCGCTAGAATGATGAGTTTGAGGCCGTCATAACGAATGTCTCGTGTAGGTGTGAGAAGTCGGCCAGAGGTGACCTGTAACTTGCCTCACAGTGCAGGATGACAGCGAGGTCCAGCTTCGTAGTGTTCAGTGTCCTCCTCCTTGTCCCCAAGCGTTACATAGTAGTCGCTGCTTCTTATAAGATGACACTGGAAACTGTTAGGTTTGATTTGGGAGCAGCGGCAGAGTCAGAGCGGCCAAGACAAAAATACCAGAATCAGGCTTTGGGGTTTAATAAAACCAGCATAATTTATTCTGAGCTCTCGGGTGAGGACCCTTGGCCTCTGACCAGGCCGAGGGAGTCACACCCAGGGTGGGTGCTGCTTGTTCTTAAAGGGCCATTGTCCAATAGGTGCTCGCCATGGGTCCTTGTCTGGCCAATGATGTTCGCTGTTTCTGTTCTACTTTGGCAGGTGCACCACATGCTGAAGGGCAGGAAAGTCCGCTGGTGATGGCGGGCCAGATGTGGACAACAGGAAAGTTCCTGGTGGCGGGAATGTTTCTGCCATGTTTGTCTACAGGCATTGTCTGTCCTTGCCTTATTTTATGTAGCTGGTGACAACTTTTCTTTTTCTTTCTTTTCTTTCATTTAAAGGATCTTGCTGTAGGGTATGTGTGCTTGCTGGAGAGAGACAGAGAGAGACCACGAGAGGGAAAGGGAGAAATTATCCCCCAAGGGGGATGGCTACACCACCATCACTTCTCCTCCATTCTCCTCCTGGAATCTTGTCTTTTCTTTCATTTAAAGGATCTTGCTGTAGGGTATGTGTGCTTGCTGGAGAGAGACAGAGAGAGACCACGAGAGGGAAAGGGAGAAATTATCCCCCAAGGGGGATGGCTACACCACCATCACTTCTCCTCCATTCTCCTCCTGGAATCTTGGGCACACACCCATACATGCCTGGTGTGATTTTCAAGCCATCAGGTCCAGGACTTGAACCACAGTTGACCATGTGGGAGTCCAGTGCCTTAGCCACTATGCCACCTGCTAGCCCTGGTGACAAGCTTTTTGAAAATCAAGTGTTGATTAGCTTCCTCTGTGCTGTTAAAATCAACAGGTACAGGGAACCAGCAGTTAGCGTAATGGCTATGTCGTTGGACTCCCACGTAGTCGACCGCGGTTCACGTCCCGGACCCGGTGGCTTAAAACTCACGCTGGGCGTGTGTGCGTGCGTGCCCAAGATCCCGAGAGGAGAATGGAGGAGAAGGGATTGTGGCGTGACCATCCCCTCTGGGGAGTGATTTCTCGCTTTCTGTCTCTCTGTCTCTCTCTGTCTGGCGAGCGCACGCGCCCTATAGCAAAAACCTCTCAAAAAAAAAAAAAATCAACAGGTACAGCAATAGCATATATCTAGAAGCATCCTTTCACCAAGATTGAGTCCTTTACCATACATGGAAATTCTTATTTCTGAATTGCCAGTCTCAGAGAGAGCCCTCCAGGGCTCATTAGGAACTCCATGGGTCTGACTGGCCTAAGGTTGGTGTCAGCTCTCATTTCCTCATCCTCCTCTCCACACGGGACCTTTACCTTTTACAATGATATTATGTAATGGAAAAAATTCCCCAAACCACTTGACAACAAGAAAGCAGTGGGTTCAGACTCAACTGTTGCAGTGTCTAGTTTGCTTCATGAGTTTTTTTATTCAAAGAAGGGGAATTTTATCCCAATCAGGGTCTGTTTATGCAGTTTTCATTTCCTCATATATTTTGTAATAGTAGTAAAAGAGAAATTTTTCTCTTTGCAAAAGGGTGATTTCATATATTCCCAGAGACTGTAGGATTCCCTTTATTTTATGGAAGAATCTGTTTGTTATGGTTTAAATGTATCCCCCTCCCCAATTCATGTGTTAAAATTGGGCAAAACATTGTGAAGGTATTAAAAGGGTGGATACTTAATCCAATGATGGGATTAAGAGGTGGAGCCTGGGGGTGGTGATTAGGATTGGATAAGGTTATCAGGGGAGGGTCCTCAACTGAGTACTAGTGGGTTTATAAGGAGCGGGAATGAGAACCAGAGCAGGGAGATGTGCCCACAGGCACATAGACACAGATGAATGCTCTGTTCTGCCCAAGTTCCTGCCTGTGTCGTCCTGCATCACCTCAGGATCCACCAACAAGAAGCCCCTCATCAGGAGTGACCTCTTGGCCCTGGGCCTCTAAAACCATGAGCTAAATAAAACTCCATTATACATTTTCCAGACTCAGGTATTTCTGTTAATAACAACACAACAGACTTTAGTTTTAGGTCCAGTTTTAAGTTCTGATTTAGATATTAAAAGTCTTACATTTTTTTCATCTTTTTAAAAAAGAATTTTTTAATTTAATTTATTTGTTGGTATCATTTTTCATTTTGACTAGCAAGAGAAAGAGGGAAAATGAGAAAGCAAGCTGCCAGGTACGGGACTCGAACATGGTCGGCCATGTGAGAATCCAACGCCGATGCCACCTGCTGGTCCTAACCTTAAGTAATTTTTAATTTTAGCACTAGAGCCCAGTTTTTGAGTGAGTGTTATATACTAGGTTGTTGGGATAGTCATGATGTGTTTTTCTATGCAAAAATATATCATGACTTTCGAGACAACTCAATAATTGATTCAATTTTATCATTATTGGAAAGGATGCATTTAATAATTTCCATTATGAAACATGTTCCTGTGTTAGAGAATTGTCTATGCCACAGAAAAAATGCTTCCTGTTCTTAACGTGTTTTCCTTTACTGTAGGAAAGTGTGTGCTCTTTCTTAGCTCACGTGCTCTGTCCCCAGGGGCCGCTGTGCTGGTTGGTCATGTGTCCTGGGATGAGGGCAGTCGGCGCCCGAGCCTGGGGTGGTTGGTGGACAGCTCGTCCCCAGGAAGAAGACATGTGAGGGAGACACAGGATGCTCTAAACCAGGGGAGAGTCATTCTTTTGGCCCTAACATCCTTTAACTTTGATACTGTGGGACTTTTGTCCCCTTCCCCTCTTCCTCAAACTTGTATCTAAACCAGCTCTACTTTTTGAGGAGAGGATGGCCATGGGCGGTGGGTGGGAGGGATATCAAATAATAGGGATTTCCGGATAGAAATTGAGAAAGTATTCGTTTAAATGTGAGTGTGTTTCATAAATCCACCAATTTACGCTCCCATCCTATAGCCAAGTTAGCATGAACCTCCTTTCCATTTGATTTCCTACATCGTATTATAAATGCAGCGTTCCCAGATTCCTTTTCTTTGGCAGTTCTTGTGCAGTTAAAAAGAAATGTATAGACATATAGGCAATCAGATGTTTCTTACCTTTTATTAATTTTTTAAAAGATTTCTTTATTTAACTTAATTTATTTAGTTTTAATTTTATCAGAGCGAGAGCGGGAGAGTGAGAAAGCAAGTCACCGGTCCAGTACTCGAACCGCACTTGGCGATGTGGGAGCCAGCGCCTCCATCACCACGCTGTCTGCTGCCCTCAGTTTCTCACCTTTCATGGCGAGCACGTTGAGCCCAGATGGAACCGTCTGTGGTAGGTAATTCCAGCGAAAGCAGATCGGAAGCAGCAGCGATGGTAGAGTTCTGTAAGGATAGTAGAGATTCTGTCCCCACAA